ATTTTTTAAAGAAATTATTTCGAAAACTAATAATATAGAATTATTTAGTTATTATTTACTATGTTAAAAAATTAAGAGTGGAGGTGAGGGGAATCAAATCCCATACCTCTCGCGTGTAATGTACACTCTTAACATATAAGCTACACCCGTTTTTGTTGAAGCAAGCGAAAATTAATAATATAGAATTGTTTAGTAATTATTTATTGTGTTAAAAAATTTTAATGGAGTAGAGAGGAGAGGATTCAAACTCCGTGCCTCACACGATGAAAAAGAGCCTCTACCACATGAACTACACCCACTTTTGTTGAAGATTTGTACAGTTATATATATTTAGCCCGTGTTTGATACTCTGATTAAAATCTAAATTTTAATCAAGTCAAAGTCAACAATTAATTTTAACGACATTTATGAAATCCACAACTTTCCAACCACTCATTTCACCAAATTCTGTTAAAATTTACTAAAAATATGATTTTAATTCAATCAGGGCTTAATATCAAAGCTTAATTAATGATTTTTTTACTTTTTTTCCTAGTGGAGCCTGCTCCGGCTCGTCAGGTGTTGGCTCCACCCCTGCTGTACAACTAAGAGTACACTATTTCTTGTCATCTATGTGATCGATGAAATGTTCATTTCATCCCGCACGACTGGATGAACTCAATTAATTGCATGAGATATGATTCTTTGTTTTTTGATGGTCGGCACCTAATGTATCCACCAACAATCTGTATTCGGATTTTCTGTGACTGGTTTCTGTTTTTGGGAAACATGTTAATCTTTCTGTATTTTAGGAAATGTTTATTATTTGAAGTTTACTTCTTGCTTTCACACATCTTTTATAGACCACATTACACTTACACATTACCATGGACATCAGCAATAGCCTATTCTTCAAAGTTTTGTATAGGTATCTCAAGCATTTGTTTCTTTAATCGCGAAACTTAACTGCTCTTATCAAATATAGAGTACCTTGTCTATATTATTATTGATTCATGAACATTGTCATTGGTTTTTGTTTCACCAGGATTTTTTCTATTTTATGTGCTTGTAGATTCATCTTTGGGTAATAGATATTGCCTCATTTCGAGGGAATTATTGGAAATATTTCACAAACAGCTCAATCAATTTATACTACATTCTCCATGCGAACATAAAGCAATAACTATATATAAACAACCTGGAACTACTTTGTCCGAATTATTTAAGCCACAAGAAAAGTTACCTAGGCTTCGAATTGATGGGGACAGTAATATGATATCTCACACGTGAGTAAAATAATTTACTCAGTGTGTTCTTAATAAATTGAGACTTTGATAACAATATTTTTCAATGTGTTTCTATTTTTAGGACATATTATACAAATATAGCAATTAAAATATTTATAGAACCAATTAAAAGTATTTTAGTGGTAACCAATTTTCCAAATGGTGCAAAAGTTAGATTTGTGAAGTTGTAAGAATTAAGTTCTGTGATCTTTATGCATCCTTATTTCATAAGGTCTACGCACAATAATTTTTACTCTGTTAAAACTAACCATTTGTTGACACTTGTGATGCAAATATATTGGATCAAACTCCAGAAGAATTTGTTATCATTAAGACGTGAAATTAATAGAATATTCACTTACGTTGCAGAATATTGTGTCTGCTATATACACATGAGATGCCCTAGAATGCAAAAATAGAAACTAACTAATTTGCCTATATCATATCCCTTAAAACTGGGATTTTCGAAACTACATTTCCTAATTCTAGGAATATAAATCTTCAAAGTTTCCTAAAACATCTAACCACTAACAAACTTATTTTCCAACAATTGTCTCAAGCTGGTGAATAGGCAATGTCCATTCCCAGCTTGGTAACGATTGCTTGAAATACTGGATTGCTTAATCCTATAGTAAGTACATCTACAAGTTGAGAGTTAATAGACATATAAGTGTACAAATCAAACTAATATCTAGTTTTTCCTTTATGAAGCGTCTATTTACTTCAACATACTTTTTATTTTCATGTTGTATCAAGTGAAATAGATTTTACAAACAAAAGATTTTCCTTTCATATTTAATTTGCTGCAGAAAATACGTTCAATATTTATTGAGCTGCGAATTGTTTTTCATAACTTAATTTTTTGTTCTAATTATGTCAAAAAATAGTCAGCACATATGTTTCAGTGTACAAATGATGAGGCAAGTCGCTCTTAGTTATAAAAAAATATCTCTGTTGTTTGGTGGTTGTCTTTGTAATACCTAGTTGGTATACCTTAAATTTCACTTAACTGTCATAATGATATTTTAATTGAATGCAATTACACTACCTTAAACAAGTTTGATTTCATGTTTCTTGAGATATTAATTTTATTTTTCCTATTACAATGACATTTAGCTTCTCAAACACAAGGATGTCACGGGTAGAAAGTTAAGAATATGGATTACGAATGTGGAAATAAGAGAAGCTAGACTTTTGTTTCAAAATCCAAATATGTTTTATAATTGTGTTCTTATTGGGTATGTTTCAACTTTTTTCATTGTTCATGAATAATATTTTGATTGATCGATCTTTCTCGCTATGCTTCTCAAGTTTCTTTGGACAGATAATTCAACCATTTTAGTTCCATCATTCCTCCGAATCTTGTACATTCCTCAAGTAGATCGAGGGTTCCATTTGTTCTCAAAATAGAGTCATTTTTTCTTTCTGTAAAACGGTTGGAGAATTGTGAAATCGTGCAAAATAAAATCATAGTCTAGGGAATGAATAACTTCAACATCCTGAGTAAATCCAAAATTGTTCGAAAAAGAAATTGTTACCTGAAACCCAAAAGGGGTAAGCGTTCTATTATATGCCCCAGATCATGCAATTCCACCAAAAAAAAATGACCACCTTTTTGTTATGGAATTGCATGATCTGGGGCATATAATAAAACGCTTACCAATTTTGGGTTTTAGGTAACAATTTCTTTTTCGAACAATTTTGGATTTACTCGGGATGTTGGAGTTGCTATTCATTTCCTAGACTATGCTTTTATTTCGCACAATTTGACAATTCTCCAACCATTTTACAAAAAGAAAAAAAATGACTCTATTTTGAAACCAAATGGAACCCTCGATGGATGTACAAGATTCGGAGGAATGATAGGAACTAAAATTGTTGAATTATATGTCCAAAGAAATCTGGAAAGCATAGCGAGAAAGATCGATCAATCAAAATATTATTGAAACATACCTAACAAGACTATGATTATAAAATATATTTGGATTTTGAAACAAAGGTCTAGCTTCTTTTATTTCCACATTCGCAACCTATATTCTTAACTTGCTACCAGTGTCATTCTCATGCTTGAGAAACAAAATATCATTATAATGGGAGAAATAAAATGAATATCTGGAAACACATGAAATCAAACTTGTTTAAGGTAATGCAATTGCATTCAATTAAAACGTCATTATGCCAGTTGAGTGAAATTTAATGTGCACCAACTAGGTATTATAAAAGACAAACAACAGATATATCTTTATATAATTAAGAGCGATTTGTCTCATCGGTTTGTACACTGAAGCATATGTGCTGACTATCTTTTGACATAGTTAGAATAAAAAATTAAGTTATCAAAAAAATCCGCAGCTAAATAACTATTGAAAACATTTTTGCAGCAAATTAAATATGAAATGAAATCATCTTTTGTTTGTAAAATTTATTTCACTTGGTGCAACATGAAAGTATGTTGAAGTAGATAGTGGTTTGTACACCTATGTGTCTACTAACTCTCAGTCTGCAAATGTACTTACTAAATGAATAAGTAGATATTGGTTTGTATTCAAACAATTTTCACCAGCTTGAGGGAAGTGTAGGAAATACGTTTGTTATTGGATAGATGTTCTAGGAAACTTTGAAGATTTATATTTCTAAAATTAGGAAATTGTAGTTTCAGAAATCCCGATTTTAAGGAATCTGATATATGCAAATCAGTTAGTTTATATTTTGGCATAGCAGAGATAATATTCTGCAACATAAATGAAAATATTCTATTAATTTCACGTCTTAATGGACACATTCTTCTGGAGTTTGATCAAGTGTATTTACATAACAAGTGGCAATAAATAGTTAGTTTTAACAGAGTAAAAAATCATTGTGCATAGACCTTATGAAATAAGGATGCATAGAGATCAAACAAGTTAGTTCTTACCACTTCACAAATCTGACTTTTGCACCATTGGAAGGTTGGTTACCTCCTTTGAAATACTTTTAATTGGTTCTGCAAATATTTTGATCGCTGTATTTGTATAATATGTCCCAGAAATAGAAAAACATCGTTATCAAAGTCCCTAATTATTAAGAACATACTAAGAAAAAGATTATTTTACTCACGTGTGAGATCTCATATTACTATCTTCATCAATTCGAAGTTCAGCTATCTTTTCATGTGGCTTAGATAATTCGGACAAAGTAGTTACAAGTTGCTTATACATAGTTACTGTTTTATGTCTGCATGGAGAAGGTAGCAAAAATTGATTGGACTTTCTGTGAAATATTTTCAGTAATTCTGGTGGATTTGATATCGGTGCATTTGGTAAATCCAAGGAGGAAATGGTACATGTTGTGTTCTCTATTAATTATTGATTTTGGTTCTTTTCATTGCCCCAACACTTCTTTGCTAATGTGACCCTGTATTGATCTCAGTTGCTGCAACGAAGCCAGGTTGTGTCATTGGAGATTCTATGTGATATTGTGGCAGGTATACTGTTGGGTTTCCGCCATCATTAGGCTGTAGTATAGAATTTGTTTTTCTTACTTTATTTGTTTATATATTTTTGTTCGTGGGTGACTTTGTTTTCAGCTGCAAGAAAGCCCTCAGTGGCTGTTTTTGATGGTCTAGCACTGGGTGGGGGCTTAGAAGTGGCAATGGTGAGCTCTGCCGTTTGTTTCAGTTCCTCATTCTTTCTTGGTGAATTTGTGAAATGACTTTTACCATCTTGCTTTCAGGGCTCCTAATGCGCTAGGTTTACCAGAACTGCAACTTGGGATAATTCGGAGGTCTGGAAATCTTTTGAACTTTTAACCCATGTTACCCATCGATGAATAAACTGCAAAAAAAAAAAAAATAATTCTATTGATTGGGTACCTTTTTAACCCATCAATGAATAAATTATAAAACTGGCTTGGGCTAGAAAGCTTGTCGATTCGGTTTTGTTGGGATCCGCATACTTGCTAATTGATGTTCCATAAGATGGCCAAAGCAGAATGACCCCCAAAGGGTGATTTCATCTGGCAATTATTAGAACTAACGATACTGTGATGCCAAAAATTCCAGGAGACTTTAAGAAATGCGTTTATGTTTTTAGCATGAAACTTTCAGACAAATCCAATTGCCCTTGAGATGTGTGAAGCACTATTGAGGGGTTGAGAAACTATAAATATTTTTGTGCAAGTTACTTGTGTTAAAGTTGGGGGTACTGAAGGACTGGTGGGTGAATAAATGACCAGAAAATGAACAATTAACATTCTTCTTTTCATGTTATCATTTTCTCTCGTGCTTGAGTTTCTGAACTGATTTATGTTATTGCCACTTGATGATTACAATTTAATCCCCTATTGTCCCTTTGTTATGAGGGACTATAGGGGATTAAATTGCTTGAGTGGAGTATTTTCATATCACACCATGTAGTTATATCATGTTTCTTTGCGTTTGTGCAATCTCTCAATCATCTATATCCGAGGAACACAGGCACTGCCACGCCTTGTAGGTCTAGCGAAGGCGCTTGAAATGATGCTGATGAGCAGTACTTTGCCTATAAATCAGCCAAGTAATTTGGGTGCGTAGCTTGTTAACTTTTGTTTTATATGTAATGCATGTATCTCTCTGTTTTTTTCTCTCCCTGTTACAAGTTTATGCCTTGTGGATGCCGTAGCTTTACCAAATGAATTAGTGAATACTGCTCGTCGCTCGGCTCTTGATAGTTTGGAGCAAAAAAGACCTTGGATAAACAGTTTCTACAGGAGTGACAAGTTAGAACCTCTAGGCGAGGCAAGGGAATTACTAAAGTTTGCTCGAGCTCAGACCCATAAACGGGCTCTCCAAACCTCATGCGTCCATTAGTTTACATTGACGTTATTGAGGGTATAATCTCTGGTCCTCGCGCTGGGCTTGGGAAGGTCATTTCTATTTCAATGCTGAATTGTGTTTATTCATGTTACCTTAATATGTCCTAGGATTAGCAGATATGTATGTAATATTGCCAGGAAGCTGAAGCATTCCAAGGGCTTCTGCATTCAGACACTTGCAAGAGCTCGGTCCATATTTTCTTTGCCCAACGCGGTACCACAAAGCTTGAGTAAACTTAAATTTGCTATATTTATATCATTGCCCTTTCAGTCTAGCAGAAGTTATCAATGATTGCACAGTAGACATTTTTTCCATTCGAGGGACTTCCCAGTTCTTATTTCTGGTCATAATTATCCAGCTACCCATTTAAAATTACTGGTTGTTTACTCTCTAATTACAAACAGGTTCTAGGCATCAGCGATCTAGGCTTGAAACCAAGGCGAATCAACAAGGTAGCGATACTTGGTGGAGGGCTTTTATGGGTTCTGGAATAGCAACGGCGTTGATTCTTAGTAATTACCCAGTTATCCGGAAAGATGTCAGTGACAAGTTCCTACAAGCTGGGATTGATAGAGTAAAAGGTGAGAAAGGTTGGAACCTCAATTTGACATTTAGGATTGCATTCAATAGAAAAAAAAACTAAAACTGTTTGTTATTTTCAGCAAATTTGAAAAGGGAACATGAGTCAAGAGAAGTATGAGAAAAATCTTTCTTTACTCAAGGTTCCCTTGACTACAAAAGCTTTAGAGATGTGGACATGGTCATAGAGGTAACTTTAAGATGTATTATTAGTAAGTGTATATTCAGCGCCCCATACCCTGCCCTTCTCTCTCTCTGGGTGACCCCTTGTGTTGTGTTCTCAACTTGTGGAATAGGCTGTAATAGAGAATGTGTCTCTGAAGCAGCAAATATTTTTGAAAAATATACTTGCAAGTAATACATCCACTATTGATCTGAATCTTATTGGGGAGAAGACCAAGTCTCAGGATCGTATCATTGGCGCCCATTTTTTCAGGTAAAATTTAGGGCTGTTTTTTTATTGATTTTCTTGTATTTTTCTTTGATATAACAATTATTTCATTTTATTGCAGTCCAGCACATGTGTTGCCACTTTTGGAAATTGCCACTGCCTCAAGCAATTGTAGACTTACTGGATGTTGGGAAGAAGATAAAGAAGACGCCAGTGGAAATTGCACTTGTTTTGCTGTCAACGGAATGTTTTTTTCCATACGCTCAAGCTGCCCTATTACTTGTTGAACATGGTAAAGATATCTACCAGATTGATAGGGCAACTACGAAATTCGGAATGCCTATGGGTCCATTCAGGTAATATTATGCACTTGCAGCCCCACTATGTCACATGACATATTATATCACTTTTACTGCTTCGTAAGGGTTAAATCTGTTGAGTTGCTGCTTATGGTTATAATTACAATTTCCGTAGATTGTGTGTTATATCACTTTTACTGCTTCGTAAGGGTTAAATCTGGTGAGTTGCTGCTTATGGTCAAAATTACAATATCCGGAGAGTGTGTGACCTTGTGGGTTTTGGTGTTGCAATTGCTACTGGCCGTCAATTTGTTTTGAATTTCCCGAAGAGAACTTACAAATCAATGTTGATACCAAGAGGATAAGAGAGCTGGTAAATCTTTCTTGTAATCTCAAAAACTTGTTGCTAACTCATATTGGCATGTTTGGTAAGGTGGATTAGAGGGGCACTCGATAGTAAGTATATGGGTAATTGGTAATTGAAGTATTTTTTTTATCAAAAGTGTTTCATGGAAATTCCTCTTGCTTTAGGTGAAACTGCTAACAGAGGGTTCTATGTTTATGATGAAAAACGCAGAGCCAACCCAGATCCAGAAATAAAGAAGTACAATGAGAAGGCAAGGGAGATTGCCGGTGTCACCATTGACTCCTATGAGGTTACTTCCTCATTTGTATTGTTTTGCTATTACAATGATTGTACATTTCGACCTCTGAATATTTTGATTTAAACTTTGCATCCAGTTGACGAAATTATCCGACAAGGATATTGTGGAGATGATATTCTTTCCCGCGGTGAATGAGGCTTGTCGAGTGCTCGATGAAGGTATTGCAGTCAAAGTTGTCGATCTGAACATATCTGCTGTTATGCACATGGGATTTCCTCCTTACAGGTTTGTTTACTATATTGAATTGGAAAGAATTCATTTAAAATTTAATATTTATTTTAAAAAATAATTCCTTACAATACTCATCGGCCAGGGGAGGGATCATGTTTTGGGCTGATACTCTTGGATCTAAATACATTTGTTCGAGATTGAAGGAGTGGTCGAATTTGTATGGAGGATTCTTCAAGCCCTGATCTTATTTGACCCAGCGAGCTTCAAAGGGAGCTCCCCTGGTGAGAATTTCAAGTTATTTCCTTGTGCATTATTGATACACGACCCTCTAGGACTTGGTAATGGCTATGGAAAATGGAGTATGGTATGTAATTGTGAGAAATTAAGGGAAGGAAACCTTTGAGCAATTTTATATTAAATCTTATGTATTCCTATTGTCGTGTCCAATTTTATCCCAGTGGAAAATAAAGTTACCTTTTACTGTTTGTTTCGTTTTTTAATCAAGAAGATTGTTGTCCTGAGAGCTCTGAATTTACTAGCCAAAAGTAATCAAATATGCAGATTAGCAAAATCTCACACTCCATCCCACCCTGTCGCTTACTACACATTCGTGCGAAATGTGGTGGGATGGGAAACATGTCTCTATGTTGTCTGGAAATATTGCACTTCCTTTCCTAGTACCAGCTAATGTCTCTACCAAAAAAAAGACAGAGAAACTAGTTTGCCTCGTGCAAAAGATACAGTAATCGACCGGACTCAACTGAGCCGAGTACAGCTGAGTAGAACATTGCATTTTTGAACTTGCTATTGATGTGATTTCAGGCCATTTATCCAGCAATCGACCTTGCCTTCCCGACCTTGCAACGAATCTATAACAAATCAGTTAAGAAAAGTTGCTAATTAAAAAAACAAAGCTGAAATTTGAGAAGCAGAGGGAATCGTTCACTGCTGTGTATTTGGAATGAGATTACAATGTGTATATACCCAAGAATTACAACAGCTTTGTACAGATGGCAATCAAAAATATGTTATGCAATTACAACAGCTTTGTACAGAATCCATACATGCCCATGGGCGTAGAAGTTAGATATAAACGAGAAAAATTCATCTTAAACAATGCTCACTTCACACGTATGAGGTATCTATCAAATATTATTATCATATGGAACCCTGTCCAATCTCAGGATTGATTGATAACATGACCTTCATCACTCTCCTATCCGAACCCTAATAACATCAATTTATTAACTTGCCTGAATTTGAGAGTTATTTATAACAAGTTTGACATCATGTGTTCACAGTTTTTTAATACATTGATTTTGAATTATTCTACATATACATCCGGGTCTAAACTCGAATGTATATAATGTGCAAGTGGCATTTCATCATTGGCTAGTGAAAAAAGTACAAATAGCAAAACCCATTGATTTTACGGTTGTGCTAGATGTACATATTACATTTACATAGTGGTTTATATAGACATGATGTGGTGAGATATGATTGGATCATGATTTTTTCAACCAAATTTTAAAAAAAAAATCACCACTCTTTTAACGATACTACATGTACACTCTCTGGTACACTTTCATTTACATTCTTCCACACGGCAACATCTACACTCTTGATTTTCAACTCATCTATCACATTACTGCACAGATTTCTTTCACACAAAGAGGAATATCATCTAAGGTGTTACTTAATTCAAAGGTTATTAGACATTTTTATTAATGACAAATGACCGTACAAAATAAAAATGGAAAAGTGCTGATTGTAAAAAAAAAAAATCCGAAAAATTAGGTTTAAAGTATCTAACCTTTTAGTTAGTATAGTTTTAGGTCCCTAATCTAGTTAAACGTGTAAATCTCAATGTTACAAAAACCATCAATATGAATGTTAAAATCTCACACAACTCGAATATGTGGAGCAAATTTATCAGAGTACTAACATCCAGATTAATATTTTTGCTACATATAAATTCTAATTCAAAAACTTAAATAGATTGCTTTTTTTGAAAGTCAAAAGATTCGAACTCAAGTCGTCTAAAATGTTTTTGGAGCCTGACCCTAATTTTCATATTTTCCTTTCAATCTACTTATAACTGCTACCAAACATGGCCATTAGGCTTTGGCACCAGAAATATCCAATAGGGTCTTTTGTGCCATTTTTCTTTTCTTTTCTCAATTAAAATATAAGCGAGTCAGTTTCCACGTGCTCCTGTGGACCCCACCGAACCCCACCCCACCTCACCATCAGTTCNGGCGTCGTAAATCTTAATAATTAATAGGAAATTAGAAATTGTCAAAAATACCTACAAAATGACAAAATTATTCAATTTTACAAAATTGAAATTTTGAATAATTTTTCAAAAAAAATTAATTTTTTATTTTTTATTTTATATATTTTTCGCCGGTCCGGTTTGGTTTCAAACCATAATTAAAATTCTCAAACCTAAACCAAACCGTTTTTGACCGGTTTGGTTTGGTTCAAAACCATTTCGTTGACGGGTCCACGTGGCACCAAATCGCCGATTTCGAAATTGCGGTTTCGATTCGATTTTCCGATTTGACGGTTTTTGCTTACAGTCCTACCAGAAATATCCAATAGGGTCTTTTGTGCCATTTTTCTTTTCTTTTCTCAATTAAAATATAAGCGAGTCAGTTTCCACGTGCTCCTGTGGACCCCACCGAACCCCACCCCACCTCACCATCAGTTCTCTACTTCTGTGCCAAATTCTGCCCCTCTTCATTCATTTACACCTCACACCTCCCTCTCAGTGTGTAGCCAGCCATTTTCAGGCATTTGAGATATCATTTTTGCCAGTCTATAAAACAAAAGTACCAAAAAATCAAGAATCTATATGGGCAATTGATTTTCTGTGCAAGAATTTTAAGATTTTGGGACTGAAAAATGGTTATGGAAGTAGTGCATGAAGACATTGGAGCAGGTAACATGCAATGTACAGACCATCCGTACAAGAACAGCACCCCAGGTGGGATCTGTGCATTTTGCCTCCAAGAAAAGCTTGGAAAATTAGTCTCCTCTTCATTCCCTCTACCCATTTCTTCCTCTACTTCTTCATCTTCTTCCCCTTCTTTTAGATCTGAATTTAGCACCGGCACCGGCACTGGCACTGCCCCCACCACATCCCTTCAAGTTCGCCGCTATACATCCTCATCTGCCAGATTGCCTTTCATTATGACACAAAGGAAAAATAAAAATAAAGATGGTGCCATTTCAGATTTCAAGAGAAGCAAATCTACCACTACTCCAGGAAGAGGTATCCATTTCTTAGATGAAAAATATCAAGATTATAGCCCTCATAAAAGAGGGTTCTGGTCCTTTCTTTACTTGTCAAAACATTCAAGTACAACCAAGAAAATTGAAACCCACTATAAAGATATAAACTTTTCATCTAGTAGTGTAAGTGGTAAAATGAAATCAATGGACAAGAAGGAAGAAATTGTGGGTTGTGAAGAAAATGAGAGTCCAAGAATGGTTTCAAGATCCAGATCTGTTGGTTGTGGAAGTAGGAGTTTTTCTGGTGATTTCTTTGAAAGACTTTCAACTGGCTTTGGTGATTGTGCTCTTCGTAGAGTGGAGTCTCATAGAGAAAGCAAATCTAAACTTAATTCTGTACACAAAAATGAAGGTAATAACGGGCAGGTTCAAATTAAAGAGAGAGTTAGATGTGGAGGGATTTTCAGTGGTTTTATTATCACTTCATCTTCATCTTCATCAACTTCATCTTCCCATTGGGCTTCATCTTCAACTGAAGGTACTGCAGCAAAAGCCACTGTAGGGAATCTTTCTCATGGGAGGAGTAAAAGCTGGGGATGGACATTTGCAAGCCCAATGAGAGCTTTCAGCAAGCCACCAAAGAGGGATTCTTCTTCTTCAAATAAGAATGCTACTCCCAATCTGGCTGCAATTCCTTCCTTGTTGGCTGTTGGGGGTTGAGAAATTACACAGAAAATAATCTTAGTTTACTGGGTGATTAGCTGATACAGTCTATACATTTTTACTTATCATTATGTTTATTAATGTTTGTCTCTGTTTTACATTGTGGATACACATATTTATCCTTCATTAAGTATGTTAGTTCATTAATTATGGTTTGGTTTTTCTTAAGTTGAATGGTAATCAGTATTTTCAGGCCTTTGTTGTAATATTTCAATGTGATTTGCATATAGAAGTTTGAATGTTGGTTTGTATTGTCTGTGTTTTTCATTTTTCATTTTTTTAACATGAGAAATGTCTTTTTCTTGTATTGGTGATTGGTAAGGTTATTTATAATGTTATGCCTAAGGCATTGCATTTCTTCCATGTTGAACGACCTCTTGAGTTTCTAGAGGAGAAACATTTATCTTTCTAAATTTAAGAGAGTCCATTTGGCAAAGCATTTGAAAACTTAAAAATTATTTTTGAGATTAATTTTCTTGACATGTTTTGTTTGATTAAAGGAGCTTTAAAAGAAGGAAGCTAATTTAGATGACTTATAAACTCTTTTACAAAATGTAGAAGCATAAATTTTCTCAATCTCTGCGCTAAGCCTTTTGATGCATCTTATATTTAGGATTCATAAATGGATAGTGACTGATTTAATCAAAATCACTATTTTTGTAGTTTATGATTACTAACTTTATGCATGGCTGTGAAAAAGTTTTTAATGCACAAGATTGGATTTGGATTAGATTTCCTGATGTCTCAATCCAGGGTCATTTCAGTTTTTTGCTGTCTTTTCAGATGGCCATTTATTAAAGGAAAAATGCTAGATGTACATCAAGGTATACATCACCTCACATGGAGAGGCCCACTAGATGGCCATTTATTAAAGAGGGGGGTTGGGGGGGGGGGGGGTCTTTGGATTGTTGTGAATTAAAACAAATTAAATTTAAGCAATTTTTCTAGAATGAAAATTAAAGAGAAGATCAATATTAGTCGAATATCCAGCCCAAGGTATAATATCAGAATTGATTTAGAGAATCGATCATTGATGCAAAAAATAAAATCTTTTATTCTTTCACCAAATTGGCTATGGTCATTGATACGATTTAATAACCTATATTTCCTTACATTCTCGATAATCAAGAGATACTCTTTGACTATTTCTCTTGTCAATAAAAAACTCTAGACATGATCTTAAGATTTAATTTACCAACAGCATTAATCTCTAGAGAAACTACCAATTCTAACCAACAAATACACAAGCGTGATTCATTTAAGCTAGATTATATATCTCCATAACATAAATTGAAAACCCTATTTGTAATCAACTATGTTATTTTACCACTAATATTAAAATATCTAAATAATTACGGGTTTAGATTTCTAATGGGCGATATACCATTTTGACAATCAAACAACGTGCATTTTGTATAATCAATCAAAACAATAATTTCAATTAGTGTAAAATAAATTTAAATTGTGATTTCAATCTTTAAAGTGATCGAAAACTTCTCAAATGCAAAGATGTAAATTGCATTTTCTGACAGAAAATGTAAAAATGATGTAAATTTACATCTTTCTTTACGTCTGCAAGAGTCAAAATGTGGATTTAGATGTTTATGTTTGAGCAAAATTTAAATTTAGATTCAATAGGAGGTAAATAAGGTTGCAAAAATGATTTTAAATATATCAATTCATATCAAATTTTATACCACCATTAGAGATACTCTTAAAACTTAATCTAGCTTGCTTAGGTTGTGTGTGTGTTTGTGTGTTTTTATTTTGGGGTAATTTTTGGCCATCACAACACAATAAAATAAGCTTGAATTGTTTATTCATTTTCATCTTTAGATAGCAATGAACTAAACGGGGTGGTGAAAAATGAGTCATATAGTTGATCCTAAATTTACTGAGCACGAGATTTAGTTTACAATCATGCTACATGTACATCGATGTTTACATCTTTGTTAACATTCTTTCACATAGTATCATTACGTTCTTTGATTTTTCCAACCGTCTTTCACATTGCTGCTCAGATTGTGTCATATGGAGGGAATGTCAAGTAAGATGTACATCTAGATTAATTCTTTAGCTTATTATTGTTTGTTGAATTGTGAAGCATTGATAAAACTTTTTTTGGAGAAGAAAGATTTCTTATTCGTGAAGATTTTTTTATTTGTAATTAAAATATGTGGTGTCTGTTTATTGAACGAGTGTCGGTCAAAAATAAAGATATATATATATATATATCATAATTTAACATGTCATGAAATGATTGCAAAGGATTTGATAATAACCATTTAGTTTATTTTTAGGATCGGATAATAATAAATAGAAAAATAATTCATAATGAGAGTGGAGGAAGACAAAATCTAAGATAATGAAAGACATGATGTTTAGGAGGACAAAATGCGAAAGGACATGGAGAAAGAGTTGTTTCTAGGAAACACTGATGGTGGATCATATAATCATATACTTTTAGAAACCCTAAAGGCTTAGATATGAAGAGACTTCGCTTAGATACTTGGGGCCCTGTGTCTGTAGGGATATTTCTTCCTATACCTTTAACCTTTTATCTTATATTTGGCACTTGGAATTGGATAGTAATGCTTAAAAGGCGGAAAGAAGAACTTCTTTATGTCATTTTTTGACAATATGACCTTCGATAACGTGTAATTGGAAAAATGTAAAAAGAAGCTACTTCGGTTATCTTATAATCTACAATTATTTGATCTCGTGTACATCAAGATTAAAAAACGATAACTTTTCAACTCTTTACCAAATTCAGGAGTCGAGCATGACTATATGTATTTCAACATCGAGTTTGCTAAAATCATAATTAATCTTATGTATATACATTATTTAACATTTGTTTCATGTTACAAAACTTTGTTGATAAATTATCAAGACAATCAAGCATAAAAGTTACTAGAGGCTTGAAATTTGTGAAAACATTTTTATTTGGTCATGAAATTCACTTTTTATTGGACTGCGAAGAAAAAGGTACCACATAAAGCAAGCATTACAAACCTATGTGTCTACGAATAGGTAACATGTCAATGCGACGAGCAAAAATATACTAAGATTGGAAATTAAAATGAATTGACGACAAAATTGTGCATAATCGAGGAGGTGAATACTAACATATGGTCCTCCTCCACGACACAAAAACAAAAAACAAATGTAACTAGATAAGTATTCTTGATTGATCATGAAGCGAAATTTGTTAACTTATAATATCGATTATGAATGAATAAACTAGTTTAGTCCATGTTTGGTCCGGATTAAAATCTGATTTTAATACAAGTCAAAGTCAAACAATCAATATTAACCACATCTTTCATGGGTCCCACAACTTTTCAACCACACATTTCAAAAATTTCTATCACAATCTACTAAAAATCTAATTTTAATCACCACCAAACACTCTCTTAATCTTTCTGTAGGGATATTTCTTCCTATACATTTAACCTTTTATCTTATATTTGGCACTTAGAATTGGATAGTACAAAATATTAATGTTCGGTTATGCTTAAAAGGGACAATATGACCTTCGATAACGTGTAATTGGAAAAATGTAAAAAGAAGCTACTTCGTTTATCTTATAATCTACAATTATTTGATCTCGTGTACATCAAGTTTAAAAAACGATAACTTTTCAACTCTTTACCAAATTTATGAGTCGAGCATGACTATATGTATTTCAACATCGAGTTTGCTAAAATCATAATTAATCTTATGTATATACATTATTTAACATCACAATCTACTAAAAATTTAATTTTAATCCCCACCAAACACCCTCTTAAAATGTTTGCTTAATTTTATGGTTTTGGGCCATTTGATGAAAAGATGGATCAATCTCTGCTTCCCAATCAACGGGTCTGTAGTATCCTGTGATTGGGTCAGGCCCCCACCAAGGATTTGAAATGGTCTTCGGCCCATCAGTGTTTTGGGCTGTTTCTTTCACTTCGCCGGCCATTTGAGGCCTCACTCTTCTTCCAACGTGGCCCGCTTGTGAAGTTGCAGCATAACGTGTCCTATTTATGGCATAATTATACAATATAATTATTTGATAAAACTTATTTGCCTCCCACATTTTTAAATAGGAAAAAAAATACAAATATAAATACGAAAGCGCAACAGAATATTTCCTTCTAATTTCAATCATCATCAAGGATTAGAGGTACTAAATAATGAAAGATTGCGATAAAAAAGTGATTACATAACTGTGACAATAAGCAAAGATTGAGGATCTTTAGTGCTATTAAAAATAGTGCAACAAGAGAAAATTATGGTGCCAACATAACTTCCAAAGTATATTTAATTATTTTTACACGTGATAATGTAAAGAAAAATACGTGCAATTTTATCCTTCAAACAGAATTCAAGAACGTATGATCATCCTTATAAATAGAGGATATGATGTTTCTCGATAAATTTACACTGACATATTTGATAAGAGCTAGACAATATTAAGGAAAACAATATAAAAATCTCATTGTTATGTATAAAGTGTGAAAATGTCCTTAGGGATAGTGGATGTGGTGTTTCTCGACAAATTAAACTAACATGTTTGATGTTAGATCGTATAGCATCAGACAAAAAACTAAGAATTTTATTATAATGTGAGATTTGAGTATAGACAAGTTTGCTCACCTGTTGGCGCTGAGGAAAAGGCCATCAAGAACACAAGGGAAAACTTTATACTTGGACAAATAAAGAGCCATTTTTATTGACAGAAGAACAAATAATGGTGGATTTTCAAATTTACAATAAGCACGTAATGTTTTCTATTTATAAACTAATATTAGGATAGGAGAATGCTATTAATAGCCAGTGAACCTGAGAAAAACAAGTTCATCCAATCATTTTTCTTTTTTCTTTTTTCAAAGCATTAATTATTGTTAAGTCCAAATTATAATTGACAATTTCTAAATTTGTGATTGGCAATTTTCTTAATCAAAATCAAGTCCTAGTTGAATTGTATCAGGAATTTATCGAGTTATAAT